ATTAATTCGAGAATAAAGTTACCTGAAAACGCGCTACCGAAGCTCAACCGCGCGGCGGCGGCCATTTTTCTCGTGTCACCGCGCGAAAGTCGCCGCCACACATACGCACACACATACACATATACACAGAGGGAGAGAAGAAGCCATACCTACATATATATACCAGCGCCGAAAGAGAGAACTCAAGGCCGTCGAGATTCGCTCGCGATACGTGATGTCTGCGTGTACAAGGGATACGCTGCTCCTCTTCTCTCTTTCCCTGCTCTTCGTCACAGCTGATACTATATACTTACCCGTGAATCCAAGAAATTTTTTAAGCCCAACCGCGATTTATGGGCCCTCTCTTTATCTTCTGCGGTACGAGTTTTCGATGGATGCATGTACAACTTTTCTCAAACAGTAGCACCGGGGGAAAAAAAAAAATATTTCTCGCCGCGTTTTTTTCATCACTCGTTGCCATTTTTGTCCATCGCTAACGGTGTTTGTAACAATTGAGAGAGTGCGTATGTATATAATTATATACACACGCTTTTTTCAACGTCATCGGCACACGAGCGAGTCTCGTAAACGTAGGGCCGAGTTGCAATATTTTCATTAAAACCGGCTGGTATCACCAGTGGTTGTAATATCATATACCACGTATACGTTGTCGCCCGCGGTAGTTGTGGACTTTTACATCCCTTTACGACCATCGCCGAGGGCAAAAGTCGCTTTTTCTTCTTTCGTTTCGAGTATAACTAAGCGCGGCAGGTGAGGTGAGAAGACGAAAACGATAAAACCCGCGGACTTTAGGAGCAAGGCTTGATCGACGCCTGTGCCGAGTAGAGAGATATATATATAGCTGGTGATTATCGCTGATGAACACTGTTTCTCGGGATGCTGCGAAAGAGTCGACGATTACTTCATCTTCTCCCAAGTGCAGTCGCTTTGTTTTTTTACTTATCAAAGGTGCATCTTGTACGCGTTAAAAAAAACTGAGAAAAGATCAAATCGATTTTAGGATAAAAATACAAATGTCATTGATGTCATTGTCCTTGCGATAGCTATACTGTCTTTACATATATTTATATATATTTGCATTTGCGATGGAAAAACTGGTTTGGTCTTCGTATACATTGTGAAACCAATAAGACTATAGCTGTGCTAACATCGTTACAAATAAATGAACTCCGCGTAGCGACGAAAATCGACGAATAATCATCCGGAAATCTTGTAAAAAGAAAGGGAAAAACCGAGGGAGTCGCAGGAAAAAAAAAATCCCCGAGAAAGAGGGCAAAAGCAGCAGCGGGGGGGGGGGGGGGGAAAGCCGGTAGGCTCGATTCAGAGGCGAGAAAAAATACGAGCTAGCCGCAAAGGAGGACGCACTGGGGGAGGGGGGAGGAGTAAGATGTACGGCATCATCCTCGCACGCGCTGCACCGGTGCTACCACAATACAAGCATACTTGTGTATATTATTCACACACGGGGACCACAGAAGCGCGTTTAAAGAGGATTCGTCGTACTCGCCCGGCGGGGGGTTGCTCCGATCCCCCCCCCCGCCTCCTTTTGCGCGCGGGAGTCGTGTGTCGCGCCATTTACGTGTACACGAGGAAGGCAGTCGCCGCAATAAAGCATCCGAGGCCCGCGAGAGTATATATACACGTACGCGCACCTTTCGAGGGATATCGGGTTACGCGGCCGCGGCTCCTCACGGATTAAGTCCTACGCGCGCTCGTGAGATCCATACCCTCTGGACCTCCTCTTTCCTGCCTCGCTCGTGACGGGATGTACAAGAGAGACGAGACTGGTTTTATCGTACGAATGCGTTACGGGGGTGTAGTGTAGTTTCGTAGATGGTCCCAATAACAATCCCAACTCTATATTATATGCTCATCGAAGGGTGTACTTCTCGGTAAAAAAAAAAAAAAAACAAACGAAATCGCGGAAGGGACATTAATCTAGACCACGGCGTTAAGTCGCTCGAGGCTTGATTATTTATGCTCGCGCGCACCGATGGTGGAAAAAAAAAAAAAAAAAAAAAAAGATTCCTTTCCAGCGCTCCGACGAAACGTAATTTTTCACGGGTCGGGCGACAGTCTCTCTTTATCTGTTGCGTGCCCTTTTATTAAAATTCATACGCATGAACGCCGAGGGAGGAACGCAGTTTAGAGATGATGTACAGCTTCGGCGATTGTTGCACCCGGACCCAAAACGTTATATTTTTTTATTTATTTATTTATTTTTTTTTTCCGTTCATCTCCCTCTTCTTCGTTCTTCCAGGAGTCGCGATAATAAATATACTTATCTTTGCGCGATGTGCGCAGGACCAAGTCAATCTTCATGTACCAAAATATCCTATACTACAAAGATAAATAAATAAAAATCCGGAAATCCCGGTTTTTCTGCAAGAAAAAAAAATAAAAGGGGGGCTGCGCATTGAAAATGGCCCCAAAGAGCCCCGGCACTGACAATAGCGACGCTTACGCAGTGAAATTCACACACCCCATCGGTCGGTCGGTCGCGCTATCGACACGCATAGTTACACAATACCTACATCACGCGGGGTGTACGTATATATGTATAGGCACAATGAGAGAAATAAGCTGCAGCGCATAGGCAAGGCGCGCGTAAAATCCATTTATTCAGGGGCGAGCCGCAGGGGCCATTCTTTAAACGGTCCTCTCGCGTCTATATACACGGCGCACCCGCAGAGTTTTACAAGATGCGCCACATGCCCGCGCGCCACAATATTCTTCGTGCTGATGTTGTTATGATTTCGTTGAGCGGGGGATATATGTGTTGGAAAACCGGGCCCCTCTCGTTCTTTCGGTGTTTAAGGGACCGCTCGCCGCGCGGTGTCCCGTGTGCCCCTCGGATGACGGAGATTTTATGGGTGTCGACGCGCGCGGACCACGTATATACATACACGCACATCTCATTGTCGGTAGCGACAAATATTTAACATAATTCACGCCTCTCTCTTTTTCTCTTTCTTTTCTTTTCTTTTCTCTCCCTCCCACTGTACCTGCACGCATTTTTTGGCCCAGGGAAGTTTTTGAGTTCCCAGCACCCATGCGATTCCGCAATCTAGGGCCCATTTTGTGAAAAGTTGTTAATAAAAAAATTAAAAATTATCGATATTGAAGGCTAGCAATTTTCGGCGCATCTATAGTCGAGATCGTTATACCCGGGAAAGGAACGAGATCTCTCTGTTTTTCATCGCACCCAACGGGCCGTATAAAAAAAAAAAAAAAAAAAAAGTCCCCTCGGTTCAAACACACGCCGATGAGCAGATGATTCCCCAAGTCAATGGGCCCCAAACCAAATCCGTCGGATTAAGAGCCAACTTATCGATCCCCTCTTCACGCTCCGGTTTTTTTTTTTTCCTTCGCCCCTCGTTCAATCGAAAGCTCATTATACTCGTTGTTTGCGGCTGTGATGAAAACGCGAGAAGACGTTTTGGCCGGGACAAGTGTACCAACCAACCCCCCCCCCCTCGCTCCATTTTTCATTGTGTTTTGAGGGAAGAAAGAAGAAGAAAAAAATCTGTTTACGCGCGTACAATGCACACTTACCAAGATCGCGTTGTATTTTAGGTTTGCGATTTACCGGTTGATCGCTTGGTGGCTTTTCGGAACATCTGTAATAGATTTCACGACCGGCTGCTTGTATACTATCGAGGGGGATCCGCCGAAGCTATTCTTTTTTTATTATTAAGTAAGAAGAAAAAAAAAAAAAAACGTACACCGTACAAATTCCCAACTACGTGCAGTCTCGTACTACGCACAGTGGGGATAAAGAAGTATCCCGTGTACGTCGTTCCGTGCGAATGCATCCGCGAATAAAACAGCATCAACACGTTCGCAGACACGTACGATACAGGAGGAGGCGCGAGAAGCGCCACGGGATATATTATATTCGCAGGCGAAAAAAAAAAAAGGGCCGAGAGGAGTCATCGTCCGTAGCGGGGTGCTCGAGAGCCTCCCGTACATATAATTAATGACGGGCCTATTACAACACGCCGATATATNAACAGAGCGAAGGAGGAGGAGAAACCAGGCCTCGCGCAAGAGTTGCCGTGGGGGCAAAAAGCTGCCGTCGGGGCCGAGAGCTCGCGCGGCAATTAATCTTTCACTCGGGACAAGCCGGACTCTCTTTTACGCTCGTGCGTGTATATATATATATGTACGCGCGTATAACATACATGAAAAATACACCACCAATAGCTCAACTGCAGGGGCCACCCGTCGATTTTTCTCGCGTCTCATTCCCACCGTGCGACCATACACGCGTGATTCCCGGCTGATAGGAATATAAGGACACGATGTAGACGTGTGAGAAAATAAGACGACGCTTCGCTCTCGAGTGTTTTTTTTTTTTTTTTGTTTTTTGGTAAAAATAGTCATAACCAGTGCCCAGAAGGGGTGGGTTTTTTTTTTTTCTTTAATAAACGGTACAAACACGAGAATCGTTTTTGCAAAGACGCCGCCGTGCCGCTGATAAGGGAAAATACAATCCGCTCCAACTCGAGACAGATATATATATATATTATACCCTCGCTCACAATCGGGGGCCGCGGACGATAAGAGCGCACACTCGGCGATCTGTAATGTACACGCGCTGTATATATAGGGAGGCGAGTGCGCGTTTGGAGACGAATTCGCGGAGAAACAGTATAACGCGTAGCGGGACGGAAGGGAGAAAAACGAAATATATGCAAATGTGCGCGCGCGTGGAGACACCGAGCCGAGACTCCCCGACACGGCTACTGCATTAACCGGAGAGCAAATATTATCTCCACCGATATCCTTCTTCTCCGGCTCTCATCTCCCCGTTGCACACACACACACACATATATATATATACCTATAATCTGTCTCGAAATACATATGTATATATGTTGCCTTGTCCTATACAATGACTTTCTCAAAAATGTAGATATCCTATGCTATAAATAAATAATGTTGGCGATGAATGAAAAAAAGAAGGAAAGAAAAGAAATGAATTGTTTGTGTTACAGGATGTTCGGCATGATGAAGCGGTGCGCGCGCTGCCGGGCGGCCATCCTCGCCACGGAGCTGGTGATGCGGGCGCGGGAGCTCGTCTTCCACGTGCGGTGTTTCTCGTGCGCCGCGTGCTCGGTGCCCCTGACAAAGGGCGATCACTTTGGTATGCGCGAGGGCACCGTCCTCTGCCGCATGCACTACGAGCTCGGGGCCGAGATGCACCCCTCCCAGTCGCCACCCGTGCCCGTCTACCCCCCGGGGCCCCACTACCCCGGCCAAAGCTTCCCCTCGCCCGAGTTCCTCCACCACCACCACCACCACCACCACCCGATACACCAGCCCGCTGCACCGCATCAGCCCCAACAGCAGCCCCAACAGCAGCAGCAGCAACAGCCGCAGCACAGCCCGGCGAGCTTGCAGCCCGCAACCCCCTCGGGGGCGGGCATGCCCGAGCACGCGACCGGAGTCGGCTCGCCGCCAAAGATGTACTTCAACGGGGCGTCGAGCGTCGGGGCCGCGACCGCGGTGACTGTGTCGGCCGCCGTTGCTGCGGTGCCCGCGCCCAGGCAGAAGGGCCGGCCCAGGAAGAGGAAGCCCAAGGACCTCGAGGCTATGACCGCTAGCCTGGGTGAGTCATGTTAGTGACGATTTTCCTTTTTTTTTCGTTTGTTTCCATAGATTATTCCAAAGTTAGCGCTCGGGGGGGGGGGGGAACAAAAAGCATGGCCTCGGAGATACAGGACGCGGGTAAAAAGAGCCGGCGATAAGGGAGTGGGTGAAAATCGCGGATTCAGATCGCGGGACGTGCCGGTGATTTATGGGGACGCGTAGGCGTGCGCTGTTTGCCACCGAAGCCCGATAAAATTTGTCCGGCCGGCATAAATCCAGGCCAGGGGGGAGGGTGAGGATGTTGGTCGCCGTGGTGCGTGGGCAGGTGAGCTGTGCGCGCGTGTGGATGTTACCATAGGAGGAGAGTGAGTGGGGAGAAGGCGACGCGAAATAAAAGAGGAGTTCGCGAGGGAAGGAGCGTGAGAACGTGACTGCCATACTCATTTTGGCTCCTCGTATGTATATACCTCTTTGGGGCGTTTTCGAGCTCGTCGAGTGAACAGATAAGGGCGCTTTTTTCCCTATAAATTAGATTTTCCATTTTTTTTTTTTTTTTCATTTACGCATGCAAGCATATATATATATATAAGGGGATGGGAAGAGTGGAAAACTTTTCTGGATTCCTTTCTTAGGAGTCGCACGAATCCATAAATCTGCGTTGCCGTTGCACCTGTGTTACAAGTACGTGATGCATACACGCGCGTCGAAGTAAATCAAAACATAAAATACACGTGGAAATTGTACATATCTAGCCCCCCGGCAGTATAGGTACTCAATATACACGACGGTATGTCTATACGCGCCCCAAGTTTTTATATCGCCCCTTCTTATGGGTGCGATTTAAGTACAACGTTTGATCTACGCGGGAGATACGGCACCACCACTACTGTGTATACGTAACTATCGGCCGAGATCTTCTCGCGACTCTCGATTGCTCAATTATACGCGTTTTAATCGGCAACGCTACACTTATGTAGCTGGGTGGGGGAGGGAGGGGCACTATAGTTCACAACTTGAGCACATTTTCTCAGAGGTGAAAAAAAAAAAAAAAAAAAAAACGCTACTCATTATATATTTTAAAGGCTTTGTAAAAAATATACAATCGATACGAAATCGCATGATCTTGTTCATAAGCGCAATAAAGTAGTTTTTGGCCAAACGATGGTGGGTCAGCTCCAAGAAATATAGGGGTACTTCCAAGCAACCGATTGGGTTTTTAAATTAATCCGTGGGTCAAAGTTTGTCAGACTCCTCTTTCACCGTGATGTATCGAGATTGAAAATATCACGTGAAAAATCGCTCAAATAACGAAAGCATTGTAAAACAGGTGAAAAATGGCAACAGTGGATACAATATACATTAAACGTTACAGTCGTAGTAGTGATGGGAATAAGAAAGGCGTAGCCGGAGAGAGGCCGGGAATATCGCGGTATTATTCATTAATCACGGGCTACCGGTATATATATAATAATATACTGGGGGATATAGCTTGTTTACCTGCATAAATAATTCATCGGATCGACGGCGGAGAAATAAAGAAAAACGGCCTTTTAGCTACCGGTATAACATAGGGTGTACAACACACGGAGAAGGAAAGACATAAGTCAATTTCGAGGCGACTGCACCGAGGCATCTGATAAAAGCCTCGCACACACACACGCGCGCAAGATGAATGAATCTCTTCTCCGCCGGGAAGAGAATGAGCCGGAGAGAGAGAGAGTGAGACGTACAATGAGAATCAAAGCACTGCACGTGGCAATTATCGACAGTTTCTCGCGTGTGTGCGAATCCACGTGCATATACGTATACGCGTGAGTCTTTCCTGCACTGCTCGTTGTCGGGGTATACGTATCGTGCCGGCGGACTATTTGCCTCCTAGACTCGTAATTGGTCTTGTAAACGTTGTCTCCTCTGTTATATATACATACCATCACCGCTGTACTGTATACTTACCTACTCATGCCCATTCTTCCCCCCTTCTTCCTTTTCTCTTCTCTTTTGCTTTAATCCACACGCACACACATACACCTGCGCGTGCCTTGTTACACCAACACTTGCACCTCACCAAAGCCATCGGAGCAGCTATGTGTGTGTGTGTGTGTGTGTGTGTGCACTCGCGGGGGCTAATGAGTCGCGATACGCATCGAGAATTACCGTCGTCGCATCAAGTCGTTGTACTCTGTATACATACACCGTATATATACATATGTGACCTGCAAGCTTTTATACATACATGCAAGTCGAGGAGAGAGTGGTTGCGCATCGGTTGTTTGTATGCATGTGCGTAAACGCGTGATTTCTCGTGTCGATCGCTTGTACAGGTACTTTCTTTCTTTCTTTTTTTTTCCCCCGTTTCTGCCTCTCAAGGTGATGAAACTTTCGTGTGTGTGGTCGCGCGCCTTGTAACATTAGTTTTTCTCCTTTTTTTCTTTTAACGTTAGCATAAAATTTCCATACACGAATCGGTTCGAGCGCGTATATATAACGAGAAAGATAAATCGAGTTCAAAGTATACATGTAGGTAAGCGTATCTAAACAAAGATAATCCAACTAGTGCAGGTGTATACATTATATTATACAAATCATGAGTAAAATATGTAGATGAAGATAGAATTACCACGCAAAGGGAATTGAGCATTGGTGGGATTTTTGTTCGATTGTTGCAGATTTGAACGCGGATTACATAGACATGCCGTTCGGACGGGGGGGTCCGGGTACGCCGGGCATGCCGGGCTCGAACAGCCGGACCAAGCGGATGCGCACGAGCTTCAAGCACCACCAGCTGAGGACGATGAAGAGTTACTTTGCCATCAATCACAATCCCGATGCCAAGGACCTCAAACAACTGTCCCAGAAGACCGGCCTGCCCAAGCGAGTGCTGCAGGTGAGCATTTATATATATATATGGTTTTTTTGTTTTTCTGGCATGCCCATACTTTTTGTACCCTGTAACTTACTCTCGGGGATGGCAGTGTCGAAAAGTGTTTTTTTTTTTTTTTTTTTTTTTTTTTTTTTTTTTTTTTTTTTTTTTAAGTTTTT